TCATTACAATTTGAATTTTATTACTGGGAAGTCAAGTTTATGTAGCCACTCAAATCATCGTATCGAATCCAAACCACCAGTGTCAAAATCTTTCGATTAAACTGCAACTATTTGCAACGAAGGTTTTATAATTTGTAACATGATAGATTTCTCACAAAAATGATTTTTCATTGGGGGCTAGCTCCTCCTCCCATCCTCAATCGTATCTAATCCAAACTGGTATCAACATTTTCCGTGTAATTTGCAACTATTTGTAACGAAGGTTTCATAATTTGCAACTCGATACGATTCTCGCAAAAATTATTTTTCAACGGGGGAGATTATTTTACTTTTATGTGGCATTGACACTTATAAATGTTCAAGAAATTCAAAATAAATAAGTTTTTTGTAAAAATAAAATAAAATATTTTTCAAGTTAAAACTGAAAATAAACCCTATTCAAAAATAAAATACACCCGCAATTTGTGCGACAAATAAATTTGAAATCATAATACTCATAAATTATCATATAACAATGGTTCCATAATTTGGAATTCGATAAGTTACTCGAAAAAAATGATTTTCTGATGAAAGATTAGTGATAAAATATTTGATAAATACTAGAAAATCGTGTGTTTAAAATCAACAAAATTAATTGTATTTGCTATTAATAACTGTATACAAATAAAACTGGGTAAACAATTATTCATTGATGTGAACTAAATTCCTGAAGAAAATTCATAAGAATTTCAAGAATTTCCTGGTTACATAGACGTTAAAAAAGACAGGTATAACTGAAATGAAAATTTACTAAATTATGAAAGCATAGTAAATATATATCATAATTATAACAAGTGTTATTTATTAAAAATTATTATTGTGTAATTTAAATTAATAACATATATTATATAGATACATAATTATTGACGTAGTTGGATATGGTAATGATCATTATATTTTAAACATTAAAAGAAACGGAATATGGGAAATATACAACGATTTGTAAGCAAAAATATTATGGACATTGTCAAAAAACTTAATTCAACCACATTTATTAATGTAGATACGCAAAAATGTAAAAAAAAAAACCACTTACCATTGGTTTGAATTAATTTTTTGTAATTCATATTTTTTTTTTATGTGCTACAATATAAGATATCAATATCATTTTTTCCCAAGATTGTTTTAAAGGTTTTAGTAAAATAAACAAAGAATTTAACCATGAATTAAATATTTTGTATGTAAGAAATGTAACATTATCAATTAAAAAATTACTCATGTGATAATTATTTTATATAAAGAACATTTCATAGATCTCATATATATTTTAAATCATTAAATATTTATGAAATAATTCAAGAAAAAGGAGAAGCGTTAAATTTAAAATAATATATATATATATATATATATATATATATATATATATAAATAAATATTATTTAATATAATAATATTATATTATAATAATAAAGTAAGAACATACATGTAGAATTTATAAATTTCAAATTTTATTTTTGTCACATGATTTATAAGACTATTTTTTATTAAAAAATATTAATAATATTTTTGTACTTCCAATAAATACCTATGAAATAGACTCAGAAACAAGTATACAGTATAAATTAATTGGAATGTTAGTAGTTATTATTCTTAATATAATGCAGATATTGAAGTTCCGTTTTTTTAACATAATATATAACTTTTAGCCCATCTTTTACCAAGGTTAAAAAAATCCAAAATTCAAAACCACCAACATTTTTTATTGAATGAGAGCTCAAAAACAATCAGCAAAAAACAAAAATATTACAAAAAATATTAGTGAGTTGTGTGTACTTCATTACCTAATGTTATATTATTAATTATCTATTTAAAAAGTTTAAAAACCATACAATTTTACAATTTTCTGTGTTTTTTTCTTAAATTTAAAATGCTCTCATTCATTCAAAATTCAACCGATTTCAGAATTTTTTTTTTGAGTAACTTATGAGGAATTCTAAAAGAGACTATTTTTGAAATTTTTCAAAAAATTTGAAATTTTTAAAAAAAATCATAAAATATTTTTGGCGGTTTTGAAATTTGGATTTTTTTTAACCGTGGTAAAAGATGAGCCTTAAGTCACATATTTTATTAAAAATCCAACCTTCATTTCTGCATTCAATTTGAAGTAATAACTACTGACTTTCCAATTAATTTACATACTTTATAATGAAATTATATTCAAAAGGTATAGACACTTTTTTAATTTATTAAACATAAAAATGTCGTATAAAATGTATATTTTTAAAATAGTAGAACGTAATAATAAACTTTACTCGAAATAATAGTCTACCATTTCAATATGTTAACTGAGTAGGTTGGCGTAAAAAATGTTAATGAACCTAACTGGTTTACTGGAATCTGTTCATAATTCAACGTTTTTATTAGGTTCCTCCTTAAAAATATAGGATACTAAAAAATTGTTAATATTTAGTTGAAAATACATTATGAACAAAGTTTTTTTTTAAATTCAATTCACATTAGCAAATGTTTATCACGCCAAAGTAAACTAATCTCTCCCACCGAAAAATAATTTTTATGAGAAATATATCGAGTTATAAATTATGAAACCAGCGTTGTAAATAGTTGCAAATTATACCAACATTTTTGACACTGGTTTGGATTGAATATGATGATTTGAGAGGCTAGCCCTTCACTGAATTATTTTTACAAGAACCATATCGAGTTACAAATTATGAAACTTTCATTGCAAATCATTTTGACATCAGTTTCGATTTGATATGATAACTAAGTGGAGGAGGGGTTACGTGAAGTTTTTCCCCAGAAATTTGAAATTTGAATTTTATTGAGTGTATTTAGTTGAAAGTTAGTTGCTAAATTTTGGCGTACATCTTGTATTAATATGATAATTTAGGGGTCCTACTTCAAACACGTGCCAAATTAAGTATGTTGCATTCGCAATAGGAAGATACAACATTTCAATAGAAATAAGACATTTTTGAAGAAAAAAAATATGACAAAATCCATAAAAAATTAAAATAGGATCTCCAAAACAAATTAACGGTAAGTTACCACTAATTTAATCTTTTTTTAAATTACTAGCTAATGTATGCTGAACTTCGAGTGTTCCATGTATACATAAGATGTTTAAAAAAAAATAAAAATAACATAACTAATGATTAATAACTAATAAACTCTTACTATAGCTTATATTTGAATAAAAAAGACTAAGGACTCAAAAGTAAAAATTATATAATTCAAGAAAACTAATTGAAATACTACCTATCAGAGTATTCACGAATCGTGATATTTTAGTGATACCAGCGGTTCCTAAACTTTTTTGGGTCACATATCCCTTAAACAAAAAAAAATTAATTGTGCTATCCAATCAATCTGCCTTAAATGAAACCGAATAGGGAACTCTACACTTACTAAGTCGTTTATAAGTTAAAATTATTAAACAACCTACAGCTAATTTGTACTTTCTATTTTAATATATCGAAATTATATTACACTTATTCGTGGACATATTTATCCAACTTTATACAACTGAAATGAAAACAAACAATTTAAAGTAAGACTAGTTGACTTATTACATTTTATTTTTTTTTCATATATTTGAATTAATTGTATGCAAACAAAACTTAAGTACATTTTTAGATAATTAAAACCAGTGATCTTATAATAAAATGTATTGTAAAATCAATGGTAAAACATTAAAATATAAAAGTTAATAACAATTTTATTAAAATATTTTACCATTTATTAGTTGATTTGATATATGGAATCAAGGAGTTAAATAATATTTATAATTTAATGTATGTAGAAATTCACGGACAGTATTCTCGTTAATAAGATGTACATTGAAAACACATAGTTACGTAGCAAACAATTATTGAAGAAGTGAATGGTTGTAGTCGATGGTACTTTATAATACTTTGTGATACGTCGAAATCGGTTTCAATTCACTATAAAATTTTTATAAACTTTTTTAAAATTTTTAAACAAAATATTTTTAATACATATTTTATACTGTACGGTGTACATATTAACTTGCATACTGATTTAACAATAACACAAAATTAGCATTAATTAGTTATTCTAATGTTTTGGATGATATTAAATGTATTTAAATTTAAAACAGAAAGTCAAGGTGACGTAAAGATGATGAGTGATGCAAGACAAATACCCAAATACGGTATAGGTAAAATATTTTTGGTTTTACAGTATATAGTGAATTTTATGAGGAAATTTTATCAATGAAATGTTAAACCACGTCTTAAATAAATGATTATTATTTCACAATCTGGTTACAATTAGTATTTTATTCCTTTTTTCAATATAATGATGAAAGTACTATATAATAAATAGAAATATAACTCTGTTATCTCACGAATTGTTTTCTATAAATAAATATTAGTATGCAATAAATATTTTTAAAATATTCAGATTAGTTATTATTTTTTTTTCCTGAAGGAAGAAGAGCTTTAAAACAAGGTATTTCTGTTTAACAAGTAAAAAAATATCCATCTTATCTGGAAATAAGAAATATATTTTCAACTACAAAGAAATAACAGCTTACAGTAAAATAATTAGTTACAAGTAAATGTGTCGGATGCATTATATTCAATAAATGTTTAGTTCAATTTATTAAGTTAATTATATTTTAGTCTAAATTTTATATTATTCTAATTTAATTTATGTTATAATTTTATATATTCCAAATAAGGTCAAGCTAGAAAAAATTTTGAAATATACTCTCTAAAAAAATGTAGATAACATAATATGTAATATAAGTACTATAGGTTTAACAGCGTGTTTTTAAATTATATTTAGGGCTTTGTCGATAATATTCCAAATAAAACTCTTTTATTAACTTTACCCTATTCAGTATCAGTGAAAATCCAATACAAAAATGACTGCAAGAATTATAATGTTCAAAAAAGGTCTAATACATAGTATATAAGATTTTTGACATAATTATACATATAAATTAATTTAGAATTTATTTCTATAGAGCTTACCAAGTACCATTGTTCCTTAAAAAGAGGATCAGGAAATACATTATGAACTGAATTGCTAAGGCGCCTGAATGCTTGGCCTTGTACAAGTGGTCCACCTGATGTTTGTTGTTGATAAAAATCTGAAGAACCAGCAAAAACAGTAGATGGTAAATTAGTTCCAAAATCTCTTTTCCGTCTCTTCTTTTCGTGTTGTTGCTGTACCCAGTGAACCTTAAATAAAAATTACATAATTAATACTGAAAATTAAAAAAAAAAAAACCAAATATTTTTAAATATTTATTTTAATAAAACGGAATATTTTCAGCAGACGAAATTTCCAAATTCTGCATTCTCATTGGCTCTTACCCTATGATCTAACAACAAACAACTCACAATCAATACTAATATTTTTACTTATATTAGCTAATATTGTCTGGAAAGAAGCACTGTAATATGATTTTATGTAATAATTACACCCTCTCATATATAGTCTATCCTAATGCTGCGAAACATATATTTTAAAAGACACTCTCTGTCATTTCGATATGTATTTCAATTGTCGATATTAAACTTATTTATTGATTGTTAAAATGTGTTTATGTATTGATTCATTTTGAAACTTGCATGTACAAACATATTTTAAAAGTCCTTAGCCAATTCTTGTGGATTGAATTTTTATCAACTCATTAAACTAATCATCAGGTAAAAAACTAGTATTAGTGGCTAAATTTTTAAAAAAAATTTTTTAGCTTGTTATAAAAATCTGACTTCATATAAATCGTATCCATAGTTATAAAACCATTATCACAAGAAAAATTACAATACTGTAATAAAATTATTACCTAATTAATACTTTTATTAATAAATTATTATTGTAGTGCGTTTAATATTGTATTTCAGAATTATTATTATAGTAGGTAGTAAAAGAATCTTTATTAAATCGTTTATTAATTCTTTGTTAAATCGTGCACGCACATTTATGATAAACGATAAGTTAATTGGTTGGTAATAAGCGATGCATAATTTTGTTTATTTTCATCATATTGCCTACTCCAGATTTGGCATTATACATAACACCTAGGCCAAGCTCGTACTATGTATATTAGTGTTCGGTTTTTGGCATTTTATATTATGCCTAGGCATTTTGCAAAATATCGGATTATTCATAATAACAATAACATATACATAGGCATGCCGCACCATGAGCAGCTCCAGGGGGGGGTCTAGGGTCCGTAGCTACCCCTAAGATGTACTGTATTTATAAAAAAAATGTATATTGTTAACAAAAAATGCATATTATAATATGGACTATGATACGACACGTACGAGTATGTAGATAGGAGCCATAGAGGTATGACAATTGAAAGAAGTTTTTTCACACTTTGGAGGCCTGGCTTCGTTCAAGGATAACTGAATATAGACAATTAGCATTATGACTAATTAATGTATATCATAAAGTAGATATTTTAGATCAAATAGATCATATTATTGATATTTTTGCAAATTTTAAAAATAGACAACTTGAATTTGAGTTGTAAAAATTTTTGTTTTCTTTTTGTAATAAAATTTTGTAAAATTATAACTTGACTTCTCCCCCCCCCCCCCCTAACCAAGGCTCTGGAGCCACTCCTGTCCGCACAGGAGATGTCGAGTGTGTCCGTTACCCCCAAAATGTTTAAATAGGGCCATACAATTTAAGTCTAAAAATAAGGATTTCTATTTTAACTGATACTGCTAAAGTTATGTATTTTATTTTAAAATAGTTGGTAAAAAATAAATATTTTGTAATAGAAAAAACAATTTTTAAATGTTTGTACAAAAATGTATTATGATATTATAACAGCTACATTTGACTACAAAAGTACAAATTATAAATAATTGAAGAAAATAAATTAAAATAAAAGAAAATAAATTCATTGAGATTAATATACCATAATATTAAATTAAACAAATAAAATAAAGCTTATTTAATTATTTATACATTTTAATTTAGTAAACATATCTATACATGTTTTATTAAAATTAGGCCCAAAAGTATTAAAGGAACCCCTTGAAATACAGGTCTGCGCACGCCTATCCTCGTATAGGTCACAAAAATATATGATTTTCAGTTGTACAATGAGTACAGATTTAAAAAAAATAAGAATCTTAACAAATCTGAAGTTTATATAGTTTCCAAAAAAATTAAAATTTTTTTTATGAATTTTAATATTCATATATTTATATTATATATGTATTTTCTTATAAAATGTAGAGTCAAAATATTTAAAACTATACATACTGATATAAAACATTAAAAATAATAGTTTTTCCTCATCATTCTCGCAGGTAAAAATTGTTCTCTCAATCACATATAAATTAGGTTAATTAATTAATAAATAAATACATTATAGCAATTTTGTATGGATAAAAAATTTAAAAATTATATCCAATAAAAATAATAACATAAATAAATTGTAAATAAAGTTTATAAGTTTCATCGATTTACAACCAAGTAAAAAAAAAAAATTCGTTTAATACAATTTTCAAAAATTAATTCACAAATAAGTCATACATGAATGAGCTGATATCTGATCAGATCCTAAATATAAAAATTACGTCCAAAAAAAAAACAATAAATTATTTATTAAAATACAGAGAGTTACTTGTTGATGTTAAAGCATAGAAGTTTATGAATAACAATATAGAATATTTAATATTTCTAAAATTACTAATTCATTTTAAGGTTTTTGTTGAATAAAGATATTTTAGACTTTAAAAAATAGTAATTTTTATGTTTTAAATAAATTGTTTTAAACTTCCATATTATACTAAAATGCAAAATTATAAATTTACTATAAAGTTTCCTTTAAAACAATTTCTGTTCCATAATTTAATTTGACTTAAAAAAAAAAAATAGTAATTTTCTAGGTACATTTTCTCTTTTTAATACATTAACTGTAGTAAACATGTACTATTTATCTAAAGATTTCACGAAGAAATATTTTATCATGTTAAATAAAAATAAAATTTAAAAAATTTTAATAATAAATAGCATTTTAGACGGCAAAATTATTCTAAGCCTAAAAAAATGCAAAAAATGTTGAAAATGGTATTCGATATAAATTTGATGAATACAATTTGTTTGTTCTAGTGCAGGAAAGAGAGGTATGGGTAAATAAAAAAAATTTGAAACTCTCGGCTACGACAAAAATAATGAAGAAATCGTTGGTGTGTAAATATATTTTTTCTGTTTTTTTGGTAGTGAAGAAAAATTCGTCTTGACTATTAGAGACTGATGCAGTACAGAGAATAATACACAGTGCACTCCCTTACCGTCAAATAGTTTTTTGTTTAACAGATTTACACGCATGAACGTACATGTCGAGTTATTGAAATACTGTTAAATTGAGCAGTAGTGAAAAATAGGTCGGCTTCAATACGGTCGAATGTTGACGACAAACTTCAATGCACACGATATGGTGCGTCGATTTCTTATTAATAACAACAATGATTGTGAGGACAAAATATTTTCTGTCGATCGTGAGTACACTTAGATATTTTAATTATTATACCAGAAGAACAAAAAATTCTATATTTTATCTCTACGCTAAATCTGTCTGTATGAATGAATGATATTTCAAATACAAAAAAAAAAAAAATCTATACATTCAAAACGGTTGAGTGACAAAAATAATGTTACGTCGAACAAACGTTGTGTTTTTCGACGATCTTTCACTAAGGAAAATAATCAATGATCGACTGTATAAATGAGTTCGTATAGAATTCTTGATACTTATCTATATCATACATATACATTATACATGTACATGTTTATTTAGTTTGGTAATTCGATCACCACTTGGGTGGATGCACGCTACCGCCGGATTACAAAAAGGTTTCTTATGTATACAATAAAAACTACTCTGTTAAACTGAGAACCGAGAAAAAGTGCAGATAAATTGATTGATTATAACTGATGGATATTCTCATAGTGCTATATGATTTATTGTCAGCAGTGTAATACGTTGGGTGGTAGTGGTGTATGTTCTTCTTTAATAATATCGATAGATTGCAACTGAATATTGTTATCAAATCCGTATGTACTGAGCGTAAAGATTCAAACACAATATCAATATATAGAGTGAAAACAAAATAAATCGCATTCATTTATGCCGACCTTTAGAATGAGATAAAATTAAGGTTAGGTGTTATATTTATTATACAATCAATCGAATATGATAGTCAATGCTGAGTGGAAACCAGTTATATAGATAATGACACGAGCTTGCGCTTTGTCTTTCAGGAATATATGAAAAATTTAAATTACTCTCACAGAAGTAAAAAAAGGTATTTACATAACTTTATTATTGAAAACAGAATCTACATAATATGCATTTATTCATGTTAAGATATCACGCCTTGAAATCCATATTTATAAGAAGGTGACCATCTAAGGAAATTAACATTTTTCTGAAATCAAACAGTGAAATTGAGCACGGCTTTTTCCAACACGTATTTAATATCCAAAATGTGGAGTCAAAGTGTGCATCAAAGTGATCCCCAAAATCTCGGCTACAGTTTAGAGAAAAAAACTACAGAAGAGATCCCAGTTCTGTTGATGTATTGGACGAGACATATCTACATCTCAGGAATGTGTACGTAAGTGAATACTATATCTTGCGGAAGTTAATTTTAAACTTTGGCAATTATTGATTAATAATGTATATTCTGCTTTGAATAAAAAAAAAAAAAAATTAAGAAAATATTTATTTATATCTTAATTTACGAGTAATAATCATTTAATAATTTTTAATTTTTATTATTCAATTTAAAAAATTACGTATTTTCTTAATTTTTTTTTGTTAAACTAAATAAATAAATAAACTATTTGTTTATTTATTTATATATTTTACTTTTGTAACAGTTGTTTGAAATTTATCTGAACTCTGATTCCGTAATCTGTTACAGGCAAAAGTCGAAATTGGGCAAAACCGTAGCGTCTTATATACGTTCGCTAATATTAAATACAAATAGTGATTTTTATAGTACGATTCTATTACGATTATAAATTACTACACGTATCTTGTTAATTTATCGTTGTTATCGAATTTTATCAACTCGTTATATTAAAGGTATGTACCAGAAACCAAATATTTCAGTGCAAGGAATAATTCATTACTAGCGATGATGTACCAAATATCGAAATACCATTGAGGACTGCTAGTATTAAAAATGCATTAACTGGAGAA